ATGATTATGAACTTGCACATTTTGCTTTTTAAAACTGAAGTTTAAAGGTTAAATTGTGCTTGCTTCATTTCTCGTAAGATACTTTGGCAGTAACTTTTGTTTAGGTTGTCATTGAGAATGCATAGGCAGATCTGATAATATTCATGATAACATCATTCGTTCTCTTTGTCTTTGGGAGTGGAACTGAGCAGGGTTTAGTGACAGAGTCAAATCTAACACCTGGCTACTTTTGGATTTGACTAGAGAAAAGGACTAGTAATAAGATGTGTGTTTATCCTGTGTCCTGAAAGGTGGCTGGGACTTTTCTGTGTTCCTTTCTGCAGTGATGCTGCTCTCAGGTCTCCTGTAAAATAGGAGAAAGGTGCAAAAGATCATTTCAGGAATGCAGGGACTGTAACCACAGTACTTTTTTTTTCTTTTTCCTCAACTTCATTTTTGCTGAAGTGTTTCACTTGAGCTTCTGGGGACAGAGGAGTCATCCCTGAGACTTGTCAGAAATCGTTACAATTTGTACCATCCTGTTGTGTCCTGTTAAACACCCTTTCTGTGTAAAAAGCGGGGTTTGCAAGCACTGAATGTGCTTGGGATATCAGACTGAGCAGCAGAGTGCTGCTGTACGGGGCTGTGTTCTGACCTGGTGAAGCACCTGCTTTCAGATTCTCTTTACTTGGGACACTTATTGCCAACTTGCCTTCATCGTGTCTGCCCCAGACTCCTAAATGAAGGGTCCTGTCTCCTACCAAAGTCCTAGTTTCCTCTGTTTCTTCATGAACATTTTAACAAGAGGGCGAGCATTTGGCTATGATTTAAAACTGTAAGTGTCTTTGTTTTCTGCTAGAAAGCAGAGAACAGAAGACTATCTAGTAGCTTTGCAAATGCATTTCTGACTTATGTTTGACTCCTAGGCACCTTAAGATAACAAGGAGCTTTAATGTCTGATGGCATACTGGGACTTGTATGAAGTTAGCCCATACTGGATGTAATAAACTTACTTGGATAAATGGACATATCCTGAGGCTCTAGTTAAAAAATAACAAAAAAAATCTTAGAGTGTGATTGCAGTGAAGGTAATATTTTCCCTCAGGTTTTTCAACTTGCATTGCACAAATAATGGGCGGAAGCTATTCTTCTACTCAGCCATTGTAAAGTGAACGTTCCCCTTTTAGCTTTAATGACTTGTTTCCTGAGATTAATCTCTAAAAAATTCTCTATGGAAGAAGCAGTAAACCAGTATCAAAGGCAGTTAGTGCTCTGCAACCTGTGCTGCTGCAACCTGAATTTCTTTTCTGTAGGATGATGACAGAAGCAGCTGCTTCAGCAGTTGTTTGGTACAGTGAGAATGAGGAGCTGCCAATGAGTAAAATTACTGGAAACCCAAGCTACAGAGTTTGCCAAAAAACACTGAAGATTTCAAATGTATTTGTTTCTGCTGTGCTAATCCAGATTTAAACATCTGTGTGATTACAGTATTTGGCAATATACATGATGTATTATCCCAGTTTACTTCAGAGAACCAAAAAGGCGGCTAGCAATATATTTGTTATTTTTGTGATGGTGTTAGTTTTGTGTTCTATAGTCATCCATAATTGCAGGTAGAATGATAAAAGTACTTCACCCACTACAACATCTGTAACTGATGAATATTATTGAGTCAGCAGGTATGTTTTCAGAGTATTTATATTTTGGTCAAGAGTGATTAGTCAGCAGTACAGCTTTGATATATGGACTTGGTAGTTTTCTGTTCCAGTGGGGTTGGTGGGTGAAGTAAGAATGTGTGAAATGAAGTGCAAATGCTTAAGTGTAGATGATGTAATATTTCAGTTGGAAGATACTTTCTGCTCTTATGGTTGAAGAGATACTTCCAAACATTTTAGTGGGTGCTGCTTTGTATAAATTGCTATTTGTATTTTTGTTTCTGGTGTTAGTAAATAAAAAGTGGGGAGGTAGCAAGGGGCAATATTGTATTTTACTGCAGAGGCAAAATACATCTTGAAACCTTTAAAATATGTTTGGATCATAGCTTAAATAATAAAGATTATTTATCAGATACTTCTCTATGGTAATGATGGCTTAATCTTAATTAGGTGGTTGCTGATAAAACAATTTTTCTTTGCTTTTGTGATAGTCTTGTGTTACTGTTGTACAGCTGAGGTCATGTAACAGTGTCTTTCCTCTGTGGTTTTTTTGTTGCTGTTGTTGTTGTGGCCTTTTTTTTCCCCACTATCTCTGATGCAACTACTCTTAAGGTTATGTGAGTGCTTTATTCTTCGAGAGGCAAAAGTAGTTATTGTTTCATGATGATGGTTTAATCCTGCAATATTTTTGAAAAGGAATGTTTTCTTTTAGTAAAATAGTCTTGGAAACACGATCTGTTTGTGTAAGAAAGTTGAATAGCACTTGCGATGAGATTTCATCACTTGCCGTTAGTGCTCGTCAAACTAGATGGAGACTCTGATTAGATGGAGAGGCTTCCTGTACTGTTCATGAATATGTTAGCTATGAAAACTACTTCTGTATGGGTTCTGCTGAAACAGGAGCTAGGAGGAGGGTGACAATTTTGCTGTACTTGTAGCTGGAAATTTCAAAGATGAAGAAACTAAGCGAGCAAATTGTGGTATATGAAATTCTTGCACAGCCTTACAGCAGAGTAAATCATTATGAACATAGTGTTTGTTTATTCAATGTTATTATATTCAATTTTCAGGAAGCTGTTATTTGGTGCAACTTGAAATTAGTCCACTGTGTGGAATGCTGTAGCATGAAAGAGACCTAAGAAGATTGAATGTTCATACATGGTTCACGTGAAATTTACTTTTAAAGTAAAGTTTGTCAAGCAGCAGCTTGCACTGAAATTGTAGCTGCTTGTTCAGAATTGTGTGCACATCTTCTGGTTCCTTGAGACTTAAAGAAAATGAGGAGGAGCTCAATGTTTCAGGTTGCTCAGATAAAATTAATATGGATTAATTATCTGTCAGTTACTAATCAGCTTTGGTTTATTTTTCCTTTAGACAGGAACTTTAAATTCCTTTTTCTCTTGTGCTTAGAAATGTGGAGTGGTTGGCACCTTCTAAGGTTTTAATCTGGAGGCTTCAAAAAAAAAAAAGCCCTGTAGCTGGCCAAGTTTCAAGCCTGCTTTTTCTGTTGTTTGCCACCCATCCCCAATAATGAGCTATGGTGGTGATTGATGGCTTTTTTTTTTTTTTATAACTTGGAAGTTTTAAAAGCAATTAGTTTTCTTTCAAAATGAATAGATTATTTACTCTCTAAAGTGAATTTTTTTTATTAACAACAATAGAAAAAACCCTCAAGTTTGCTGCTGGGGTATTTCCTAGCCTCTAGAAACTGAAATTTTTTTTTTTTTTTATCAACAACAATAGAAAAAAACCCTCAAGCTTGCAGCTGGGGTATTTCCTAGCCTCTAGAAACTGAAAGCATTTCTCATTAAGTCCCTGTAGACCATAGCTATCACTATTATCTGTGATTTCTCTGGCAATTGACAGGTTCATTGTAGTTGTCTCTACTGGAGTTTTGTTGGATTCCCCTTGTGTGTTATCTGAATGATGGCAGCTGCTATAAGGAGGAAAGAAAATAGAATCATTTCCTACCTGGATGATAGGTTCATTCAGGAAATGCCTGAGAGATTCAAGCCACAGCCTGAATTACATCAGCAAAAGCAATTTGTCTCTCTTTGACTGTTTCCATTTCTGGAAGTAGTAGTCATCAGGGACAAGAATATTGTAGTCTGAGATCCATGTAAGGGTGAAGGAATTTCAAATACACAGGATGCCTGATTTCTCAGCTGACTTCTTAAAAATCAAAATAGTCTCTTTTCCTTCTTTAATGTGGTTTCAGATGCTTAATGTATGAACATTCAATCTTCTTAGGTCTCTGACTTCCATGCTCTAGCATTCCACACAGTGGACTAATTTAAAGTTGCACCAAATAATAGCTTCCTGAAAACTTACCAGTTGGATGGGAGTAGATTCAGGCTTTATCATGAACCAGGGAAAAAAAGTGACTGAGCTTTGTATGTTGGATGCATCCTTCTTGAAATACCCTTCTTTCATGAATGCTCCCTTCCTATTCCCCGACAGGAGACTAAGGGTGTGAAGGTGATGAGCGTTAAAACCCATCTCTGTGTTCTGTTATTGGTGAAGCAAGCATGAAAGGTCATATTTTTGATACAAGGAAAAGCAGATTTTTGTCAGAGTGCGCTTGTAACCACTGTGGTTTGGTTGGGTTTCAGTTAATTCATTCCTGTAATCTGTGGATTACAGGTTAGCTCTATTTTTGGTAAAGCAGAGTAGGGAGAAGACTTCCTAACAGATTGCCCTGGAGGTGGCAGATGGCATTCTTCACTCTGTACCAGCTTTGTAGGGCATCCGTTGCTAGTGGTGTTGAGATGTAAAACAACACAGCCATTTGCTAAACTTTTTCATTTGCTTCACGGGGGGAAAAACAGTTGTAGACTCTCCCTTTCTTGCACTTGTCCATTCCTAGATGTTTTAGTTTCACTTGCACACTTCCTATTCAGCTTCAGGTATAAAATGATGTGTGTTCTCAGTGAGCACTTCCCAGCCAAGAAGCTGTTATATTTCTGTAGGGAACAAAAGAATTTGTTTAAGGTGTTGTGAGATCTTTTTGAGGATGGAGAGAGCTTTCAAACATGTTCAGACATTTCATATGTTATCATTTTTATGAATGCTTCAAAAGACTGCCTTGTATTTTGCTGTCTTGTGGTTTCCATACTGGATTGCTTTAGGATGTGGGGTTTTCTTTGTTTTTAATTTTTATTGAAAGAATTTTGAATATTAACATGGGCTTTTCCCCTCTTTCTCCCCCCACCCCTTCAAGAACCTTTTTAAAACGCTGGGGTTGTTGGAGTGGTTGAATTTTTCCTGGATTTGAGTGAGAAATTCAGAAGACTGAAGCCCAGGCTCACTGTCTACCTTTCACGGAGGCCCAGCCGTGAGAGGACAGAAGAAGGCACGTGGCGAATCATGACAGCAGACAAAGAAAAAGACAAAGACAAAGAGAAGGACAGGGATAGAGACCGGGATAAGGAGCGAGACAAGAGAGACAAGGTGAGGGAGAGTGAGAACTCGCGTCCTCGGCGGAGCTGTACGTTGGAAGGAGGCGCCAAGAATTATGCAGAAAGTGACCACAGTGAAGATGAGGACAATGACAACAACAGTGCCACCACAGAGGAGTCCACAAAGAAAAGCAAAAAGAAACCACCCAAGAAGAAGTCACGATATGAGAGAACAGACAACGGTGAAATAACATCCTTTATCACAGAGGATGATGTTGTATACAGGCCTGGAGGTAAGAAATTCTTCTCTTATGTTTCCTTTGAAAGTAATTGTGCACCAGAGCAACCAGTTAGATGTCTGCAGCAGACAGCACAATCTGTTATCTGTTAATTGAAATGATAATTGTGCTAGGGGCAGGTTGCCACATTTCCATCGGAGACAAATATGGATATGCATGCAAAAGTTTCTTACTACATCTCGTAATTTCTGATTTGTTGGAATGAACTTAGCTCCTTATTGAAAAAGAGCCACCCTTTTTGTCGTTCTGCTGCGTTAATTACCTGTGTATCGTATGTCATCTCTGTTCCTGGGAACTTTGAAACTAAATTGCATAAAGCACTGAGCACTTTGCTCCAACTTTGAAATGAGACCTGATCTGAGGTAGAGATTTGTCTAGGTGGCATACAGAGATATTTTCCAACCTTTCTGACAGGTTTCCCTGTGAATCTCATTTCTTTGTGGGAGCAGCATCAGCTGCAGATATAAACGGGTTGAAATTCTGCTGGTTTTGGAGGTGTAGCATTCCATACTTTTTATTCCGTGTGAGAATTGTAGAGTCTGGTTTTGCTTGGATCTACCAGCATTTGTCAGAATAGCTTATCTATTGAAATGCTTCAGATATTTTTTTCAATGGTTTGAAATTGTATGCTTTTATCTTGGTCAGGGCTTGTAGCTGAGTGATATTTGTTGCTTGAGCAGTAACAATAGGGAGCCTGCAGAAGTGTCAGCTTTGGTAGCAATCTTATTTTCAGTGTCAGAGGATGAAAAATAATTTGGAATCTGTTAAGAACATCTGTTGCGTGGGCCGAGTAGTACAATGTGATATGCTGGCTGTATTGCAGAAAGGCTTTGCTTAAAATTAAGATGGAAAATCACTTTGTGATCTTAATTTTATCCTGTGGTAGGATGAAGAAGTACTGGCACTCTTTAACCAGTAGGTACAGTGCTCAGAGTACCTCTGATGTAGCAGGAGTGTGATCTTGAATACACATTCCAGTGCATAATATATTCTAAAGCAATTTTAGCCTCTATCTCAGAAGAGACTCTTAGGCTCTGTTTTATGGCCAGGTTACATATAGGGAGATGTATTTGTAGCTAGGGGTACAAATGACATAAAATTTAAGAGGGGATTAAGAGAGTTTAAATTAATGAGACTTGCACAGCAAGGATTAGAAAGATGAAAATGGAAGGTGTGTGCAGAATGGATAGCTGTCTTCAGCTTACATCTTCTAGGCTTTAAGGAAAGGAAATCTTTCAATTCCTCTGATTCTTTTTCTTAAATGCTCATATCTGATATGGTGAATGCTAAAGGTAAAGATCTGCATTTTCTACTGGGAAGTCCTTGGTTAAAAGCTCGTTCTCTGTTTACCCCGTTGCTGTTCAGTACTTAATCCAACACTTCATATTACTTTTTTTTCTGTGCTGAGCTCAGCAGTTATATTTGACTAATAGCAAATAAACTGTAAATAAATAGATAATAAAGATAATTGGAACTTTTTCAAATGAAAGATTACACTACATTGTTACTATATAATTACTGTTCTTATTAATTTGCATAGTTATAATGAATGTATGCATAGCTTTAAACCATGTATTAAAATTTATTGAGTAGAGCTTAGACAACACTATGCAATTAATCTTCTCTACTTGGTTGGAAATCACACAGACCTGTCCTAAAAGCTTGTTGGCCCATTTCCCCCTCTGTCCTCTCAGTTTCTGCAACCTCCTGCCCATTTCTTTCCAAATCTAGTCTGTTGGTTTTTTTTTTGGGATGTATTTTTTTGTTTGTTTGGTTTGGGTTTTTTTGCACAGTTCTTACCTTTCTTTTGTCAAAATGACTGTCATGGTGACAAATGAATTTTTATTGTACAATGTGTATTTGGATTTACTTATAGACCTCCTTACCATAAGGTAATGTTGGTATGAGAGCTGCATTGACTGAGGTTTGTTTTGGTTTGTTTTTTTCCTCTCCTTTTAGATTCAGTTAGATTATTTAATGCTGAATTTCCTTCCATTTCTTGTGCAGATTGAGGCCTTTCTATCCTACTGACTTTTACCAAAATACAGCCTGGTTTGAAGGGGTTGATTTCCCATACAGCTGATATGCTCGTGCAATATGGTTAACACATGGCTCCTAATTGGGTGTGCTGTAGAACTGGTGGTCTTGTTTTGTAATATGGGGGGTTTTTTTCTGCAGTTTTTTGATTGTCAGACTGTAAGTGAATTTGAATACTTTGATACTCTGCTGTGCAAACCAGACTTTATATAAGTACATGTGTTGTTTGGGTTAGACAATTGGTCTCTGTGTATGATTTTCTGTATAGAAGAACATACTGAAGTGCTGTCAGTCAAACGGCTGTCAGTGGATGGGCCCGGACTTCAGTGGCTGAGGTGCTTTTGGAACAGCTGGCCAGGTTTTTCCAAGTGCTGTGCTACTCCAAATGTTGCTGAGTGGTGTATCTGCTTTTGTAGAGACCCTGCTTTGGACCCTTTTTTCTCTCCCTCTTCTGGAGGGCAACAACATACTTAAAGTATTACAGAGACCTGACGTATGGAGGTATTTTTCTTGTGTATCTTCAGCTTGTCCTTGAACATGGAGATTTTCTTTTCAATATCCCAGTAAATTACTCTCATGAAGCAAATGGGTTAAGATTGCAGATCAAGTACACGGCAGGGATAACTGCATCAAAATAATAGCTGGGTGTGTGGATACTTTCAGTGCCCTGTCTTTGTTGTTCTCTGAACTCTTGCATACCTTTCATGCTGGAGAAAGCTATATGGTCCCTGTCCCCTTTCACTCTTAATCTGTTCAACACGTCAGGAAGGGGTATTAGTATATTAAAGCCCCAGAACTTAATACCAAGGATATTGTTGCTTCTTAGCAGACTGCTGTAATGTCATCCTGGTGGCACCTTGAATGCTGGACTGGAAGAACTTTGCTGGATGAAAGTCTTAAGTTGATTTGGAGCCTTAGGAAAATGGATGACTTGATATGTCACCTGGAGATGAGGACAACGTTATTTGCTCTGCCTACGTGGAAATATTTAAAAGGATCTGCAGGAATTAAAAGGATTTATTAGGATCTGTTTCTACAGTGACATCAGTACCTATATAAACAGCACATCAGCAAGAGGAATCAACATGAGGGTAACACAAGGTGAAATGTTTCTGCAGCCAGCCTAGTGCATTAGAGGACTTCATAGTTTTCTAGCAAATAGCTTTGGAATAGCTTCCATGAGAGCCTCTGTTCGAGGTGTTTTAAGATCTGTGGAGCTGTAAGAAGAGGTGCAGAGTGTTAGATATGGAAAGTGCAGTTTGATTTTGTGCAGGGAAGGGGGAGAATTAGCTTTATGTGGGTCCTGGAACACCTGGCTTAGTATAAAAAACCAGGAATGTATCTTTTTTGCCAATTTGACATGTTTTAGGCAATCACTGTTGGGGACAGCTATTGGACTTTTTGGTTCAGTTGCCTTTTTTTTAAGGTGTGGGAAATCAGTGTCACTAGGATGAAAGTGAGATATTGCTACTGGAACATATAACTTGAGTAGTAATTTTTCTGGGTTTATAGATTGATGTCTCTTTAAAATTTTGTTAGATTTCTGTCCCCGAGTGCTGCTCAGGAGGCACCATAACCCCATCAGCTATTGTCTGGACCCGCATCAGAGAAGGAGAGAGACTGAATTTGCAGGTCAGATGCACTGTTGTGAAATACTGCTGCTCAGTTGTCACCAAATATATCAAAGTGAGATCTTACATACTTTTCACTTTGATACCTTCTGTGACTATAGTGTATGTGGCCGTTTTTCAAAGGGATTGCTTCATAAGCTATGAAATAGTTTGCAGTCTTTAGTGGCTCAGATGTGAAGCCTGAAGGTGTTGGGCTATTGCACTATCACAGTGAGAAAATAACAGAAGCTGGTGGGTCACCTTTTGTATGAATCTGCAGGCCTGACATCACGGTCTGTCCTGTGGAGTGTGGTCACTGGAGTTCCAATCACAGTGGAACCAGAATTATATTTATCTAAGATTTAGATGGACTGAAATTTCTTCTGGTTATCTTAAATGTTCCTGTTATTGTAAGTGTGCTGAGATGTTTTGCATTGTTATAACTGAGGATGTTACTGAAATGGTTGTTTTAATCTAGAAACCTCCATCAGCTTTATAAATATATATATATATTTAAACAAAAACCAAACAAAAGTGCTTACTCCCTCTATTTACTTTGCTATTAAGTACTATATTGGTATTTGGGTTGAATGTTGGTGAAATTGAAATGCAGGAATTTGGCTCACACTCTGACAGTGATTGGCTTGTGTTTGACATTGATCCATGTGTTTGCCATTCTTCTAGATGCTGTGTTCTATTTATTCTGACAGCTTTACCAGCTGAGAAAGGTGGCCATGCCAGAATTAAATATAAAAATACATATAATATGAACATGAATTCCTTCCCCCCCTCCACGAACCTTGAAGTTCTGGCAAGTGTTTTTTAGGCTGCTAAAAAGTTGGGGAAAAAGTTAATTCTTTTCTGGGAAGTTTTAAAATTTTAATTTTATGCTTGGACAGAAGGAAGAAATACAACAAGATGTCAGGAGGGTTAACAAAATGCATAAAAGCATTTACAAATATATAAAAGCATAACACAAGGATTTTCTTTGAAGTTGATTGAAGCCTGTAGAGAACTGTTTTCCACATGCAGCTGAAACTTGTGTTGCTGTTCTCTACTGTTGGCTATAACAGTGGTTGTAATGAGTTTTTATTCTCAGCATTTGAGATATTATGGCAAGTGTGGTTTTTAAGGATCAAGTGAGTTAGGTGAATATTATTAAGTGTAGAAAATAAGGTTACATGACAACATACATCAGCTGCTTAGCTGCATGTGACTAATTTCCTGTACATATGCTGTTAGCATAAGCAGAAAACATAAGCCAAACTGGAGGAAAAAAAAAGATGATGCATTTACCGAGTTCATATTTACTCTTAAATGTGATATTGTTTTCACAAGGTGGATTGT